ACTACTACTACTACGTACGTTACGTTACGTTACGTTACGTTAACGTTACGTACGTACGTTACGTACGTACGTACTTACGTACGTACGTACGTACGTACTACTATACGTGTGTGTGTGTGGTGTGTGTGTGTGTGTGTGTGTGTGTGTGTGTGTGTGTGTGTGTGTGTGTGTGTGTGTGTGTGTGTGTGTAGTTGGAGCTGGATGGGGAGAGGGTGGCGCTGCCCAGTCTGGAGGGCATCATAGTTTGTAACATTGGTTACTGGGGCGGAGGCTGCAGACTCTGGGAGGGGATGGGGGATGAACCGTGCCCCCCCACACGGTAAGACTGGCATCATGTCAACAGCCTGTTCGGTGATATTAAACAGTTTTGCTTTGTGTGTAGATATTAATCAGATGCTTCACAATAAGCCCATGTTGAGAATATGTATGCTCAGGATTTGACCCTTAAATAATCTGGTAAATACCTTGAGACAAAGCAATACAGTTGAATCTTAACTAATGAGCTGTCCAAAAAATATTTGTAGAACTATTTAAGCATATTGTCACATTGTGAGAGGGTGCCTTATTGAAATTATAGTTTTTGATCAGTAAAATAACTGCAATGTAACTATTATTATTTTTTATTGGCGCCCTTTGCATTCAGTATAATGTTCAATAAATAAATGTTGAAAATAAACATTTTCTTAATTCAACAAGCAATGTGTTTTATTCTAGCAGTATAGTGAAAGGATCAGAAAAACACAACTGAGTACACTTTAATATGTATATCGTAATTAATATCTTTTTAAGATCTGCCTTTTTCACATATTTTCCTCATAAGGTGGAGCCTTACTGTGAGCCTCAGTGAACGCATCACTGAAATATCAAAAGCAGGAGGAAAAAAGAGTCATTGTTGATGCACTTGTATATGAAGTGTTCATGTGTCCGTCCCCCGTCCCCCCGCAGGCTGGACGATGGTCTGCTGGAGGTGGTGGGGGTGTTCGGCTCCTTCCACTGCGCTCAGATCCAGGTCAAGCTGGCCAATCCTGTACGGCTGGGACAGGCCCACACTGTCAGGGTGAGGCTGTAACACACACGCACGCACACGCACACAAGGTCCAGCAGCAGTGCTTCCTGTTTAAGTGGGTATTGAGAAACACAATAAGGGAGTCATTTGTTTTCACTTAGTTCACCCTGGTCACAGCACATGAAATCTAATTGTGAACTAATCTGATTACGTTTCGCTACGCGGCCCCTGCAGCTGCTCATACACCAACTTCTTCTGCTCATTGAATTGTAATCCTGAAGGATTTGTTTGGATTTTTTGGAACTGGGCTTGTATGAGGTTTAGTAGAAATCAATAATGGTTGAAGTGTGTTTGCTATATTTAGAATATTTATACATGATCTCAAACCTGAGGTGAACCTGAATTAAGTCTGTAAAACAATTAATAACACAAGCACAAAAAAACGAAGCAATCGTAGCAGCTCCTGTGTTCCATGTGTTTGTATTGATGGAGTCTGGTGGCTCTGAAGAGGTCATACGGTAGATAACGTTCCCCTTCAGAAAGTGTGTGACGTCAAGGTGAAACAGTGAAAATACTCTAAATTAAATGATTAAACGGATATTTTTTTAGGTTGGGCCTCGATTTTAGGTAGCTAAAATACGTGAAGCTTCTGTGCTAGTACTCCTGTCTGTTTCTCCAAAGTGGGGTCATGCAGACGTCCAGCTACTGTAGGAACTAAACTGAGCATGGATAAAACATCCTTTAAACCCTTCAGGAACAATGGGTCCTTTGAGGGACTGCGGATGGAAATGAGCAGCTCAAAGCTAAATCTGGCATAGTTACGCTTGACACGTTTTATTGTTTTACGTGTTCATTAATGTGCATTTTGCCTGCTAAATAACCAATTAAATTACATTTCCACTGCAGCCTGAGTCTGACTATACCCGCCCCAGATAGCAAAACACATAAAAAGGATTTAAATATGAATTATATATTAATAATATCTCACATAGATATGTACAAGGTTACCCATAAGCATTTCTGCTAACCAACAGTGAAGAGTTGATGTCATCAGTCACATAGTCAAGGGTAGAAAAAGTAAACGCATATTGTGAATAGATGGATAGATAGGCTCTTTATTGATCCCAAATGAAATTATTTTGATACTTTTTAAATATTTTTCATTCATATCAGATTAGCAGATGAAACGTCATAACAGTCAAAAGATTAGAGATGCTGATGCTGTGTTACTGACAGAACTGCATCAATAGATAATGTAACGATGTTCAGTATGAAGGTTTTTTTTTAGAATATGTTGACCATTTTCTTATAAAGAAATCCGGTAGTTCCTAAAAAATTGCATAAGATGCGTTTTATTGCAAAGAAGAAACTATTCTTCATCCATCTGTTGATTTCCTCTCAATAGGCCCAATTCAGTCTCTTTTCAAGTCTGGATGCTTCTGATTTAGAAATAAATATATATTTTTGATGTTTGAATCTAATTGAAAAATATATATATAATATATATAATTTTTTTTTTTTATTAGATCATCCACTGCAGGCATACAACATGACAGGTGGCAATTGTTGAGTGATGAGGTTGAAGCCATGAGATTCCTTTTTAAATAAATCTTTTTTTTTATTGTCGCCCTTTCATTCAGTTCAATGTTCAATGAAATAATGTTGAAAATATTGTATATATACATTTTCTTCATTCAACAATCAAGCTGTTATATTCCAGCAGTATAGTTACAGCATCAGAAAGGCAACTTTAACATGTTTATAGCAATTCATATATATTTGCATGTTTTTCTCATGAAGTGAAGCTTCACTGTTACGGCCGCGTCCACACGGCGGCGTGCGTTGAAGCTTGCCGGTGGGCGTGTCTGAAACTCGACCAACAACCAATCACATGAATCTCCCGCCCCGGACAAACAAGGAAGCGGTTTGATTGGCTAGAGCTTGTACTGGCATATGATTTGATTGGCTGACGCTTCCGTCGAAGCTTCAAAAGTAGAACATTGTGATCAACTTTTGCAGCGAGCACCAACCGAGAAAAGCTACCTTTGCTCCCACAATGGCAGTTTGGTGAAGCGTGACGTCACCGCCCTTCAAAGTGAATGGGCAGAGCCAATAAGTTCACTGTGAGCCTCCAGATGAATGCAACGAAGACAGCGTTGAAAAAGCAGTAATTC